GGCGACAGTTATTGGAGATGGGTTTAAGATGGCAGGTTGGCAATGGCCGTTCGGCCTCTCTTCTCCACTCGAACTGGATTCTTGGGTACCAGCTTGACCCCCCTTGCTATAACCCGCTAGTCTTGCCAGATGGAGGTGATCCATTGGTGGAGGAGGTTATTTTTGAAGGGGAAGGGCGGTGGTCTGAGGATAAGCTTAGTCTTTGGTTCGACCCACCTACCTGCAAAGCCATTAAGGCTATTCAACTCTCGCGGCGAAATGTGGCTGATAAGCTTATCTGGCATGGCACGGCAGATGAGGTTTTTTCACTAAAGTCAGCCTACCATTTGGCGGTTGATTTGGATAGAAGAAGGGCTGGGTGGCGATCATCGGCTAGTTGGATGGATAAGCCAAGTTGGATCAGGGTATGGGAGGCTAAGATCCCTCCAAAGCTGAAGGTCTTTGTTTGGCAAATTCTGAATCGGGCTTTGCCCACTACGGAGGCGCTTATTGAGAAGAAGGTTCCTCTGCTACCTCGGTGTCCAGTTTGCTGGGATAGTCCGGAGACTATGGAACATCTCTTTCTGTATTGTCCGATTGCGCGACCTCTTTGGGACTATTCAGGGCTGGATTACTTGGGGGAGGGTTTGCCTAGGCATACCTTTCCTTTATTCCTCAAATGTCTGCTGGCCCTGATCCATTAACCGTCGTTGGTTATGGCAGTTGTTGCCATCCTTTGGAGGATCTGGTGGTCTCGTAATTGGGTTGTCTTTGAAGGCAAACAGTTTGGGATCCTGACGCTCTTGCGGCAATTTCACCAGTAGTATGAGGAATGGGTGGGCTTGCCAACGGATCGGGTGCCCCGTGTGACCTGTCCATCGGTTCAGTCAGAAATTCCGGTGGGTGAGACCCGGTTGGTGTACATGTGGGATGGTACCACTAGGAATGGGTCGCATTCGGCTGGTGGGATGGTTATTTTAGATCCGGATCAGATGCTTCTTCTGGCTAAAGGGGTGTCGTTCCCTCAAATGTATGAGCCTGCAGTGGTAGAATTACTTGTGCTCCGGGAGGCTATTGTTTGGTGTTTGGAGTGTGGCTTGTCGGAGGTCCGGTTTGAGGGCGATGCTAAGGTGATTATTGATAAAATTAATTGAGTCGACACAAGGGATGACCAGTTGGGTGCTATTCTGGAAGAGATTTGTTATTTTTTTCACGCCCAGCCGGGGTTTAGTATGCGCTTTGTAGGTCGGGAGAACAATAGGGTAGCTCATTCGGTAGCTAGAAGAGCCCTCTCTTTGTATCCGACTACGTGTCACTTCTTTGATTTCAGAGCCTGGCTGGTTTCCAGAATGTAACTATCTATTTTTTTTATCAATATATGATATCTTTTGACAAAAAAAATTATTCCATATAAAAAATCTTAATATAAGGATTTGAACTCGAGTCTCTTCAAACAAAGACAACAATTACAACCAATCACACTAAACAAGTTTGTTGTATCTTTTTTAATACAAAACATGCATGAAGTAAAACTATGAAAATCAGTGGACTTTTCCATCGTGATTAGCAAGCCCACCAAGTCTACCGTATGTATTTTTATTGTGTCTGATACTTCAATTTTCATAGCAGAGTTTCATGTAGTTTCTCAATTCTAAAATTACTACTCTCTCCTTAATTTTCGCTAAAGGGATATTGGTAATTGGCTAACACGGAAGAAACTAATTCTATTACTACGTATTTTGTGCTTGCAGTTTTCAATTTATATTTAAATTTAGTACTTTTTTTTATCTTTTTTTCTTATCTCTTTCTAACTTCCTCCCAAATTCCCACCATCGTGCAATAGTTTACGCCCCTTTCACTTCACAATACTAGGCTGCCTTTGAAAATCAATCTTCCGATATCTCTTGGCACTACGATTTTATATTTTATTCTTGAGGATTTAAACTGGGCAAGTAGAAGATTTCAACTCCGATATCAATCCATGGTGAATAAATGGAGTTTAATAAATGGAGTTCTAGAAGGAGGATTAGAAATTGAATATTTTGTTGAAACATACATACGCCTCTTGAGATTGAAGATAGAGTGGATAAAATTTTTATTGTACAACGGAGAGTGGTGGCTATTGGATCTTTAGGTTTATGGCTTTGCAGTTATCGCAACCTAATTCTATCTTAAAACGAAGAATCATTAATTGATTTACTGAAGTAGACTGGTTGATTCTTTATTCAACCTACTGGAACTGATGAAGAAGGAGTGTCTAATTTTGTTCCTTATTAATTTGATCGAGTCTATTAGTATATTGGAGGTACCCTAATTTTGGCATTTGCTCTCAAGTTTTGATGGTCCCCTCTTAGCCGAGTTGTTAGTATATAGTTGACTTGAATCAACAACTCTCCATTTAGTTTCAAACTATCTATGGTTCGTGTGGAAATTTTAGTGAGCTTTTATGCTCTATCTTTCTTGACAATCAACTTACCAATAGCATTTTATCGGGGACGTAATTATCATTATGAAAATGTGATCAATGACACATTTTTATATTTATATTCTTAAACGATGATGATATTTCTCCAAATTTTCGACCTATATATTCTTTCTTTACGTATCATCTCGATCGAATGATTGTCAATAAAATTAAACGGTTGATAGACTTAAATTTAACATGAAAATACAAATAATAAATATGAATATTCCGGCCTACGAGACGGTTATAAGCTAGTTAATTAAATAAACTATGTTTTAAATCTAAAAAAAAGGAAATAATTTAAATTTTCAATTCACTCATAATTCAATCTAGCCCATTTCCGCAAGGATTTTTATGACAAAACAAAACAAACCTTAGCCCATTTCCGGCCCAATTGACCATTTGACACCCTCTCCTTTCGACTCTATCTGACGCCTAATCCAACGATCATAACACGGGGCTCAGCAAATATGCCATGGAACCGGACGCAGAGAATTCCTCTTCCCAAAGATATTTTGTGCAAAATCAGATAAGCGCTGACGCGCACTGCAGTCTTATCCCACCGCCACCTGTCTCGAAGCATGGGCCGCCCAAGCAAGCAAGCGAGTGGTTCTCGTCTTCAACTTTGCATCATTTCATAAAAAACGCGCCGAATTTCGAACCCTCTGGAATCTCGCCATCCGGCATATAAAAATCTGGCTCTTCCGATCTGATAATTTCGCGACCAAGCAAACTCTGATCGGAAAATCTTTAGACTACCGGAGCTCTGAGGGAATCAGTTTTAAGCGGTTTAAAGGACAATACAATTCCGACCGCCGTGCGTCCAGCCTCCTTCAATTCGTCAGGATCGAAAGTTCGTCGTTTCTGCGAATTGTAGCTATAAATTTCGTGCTCTCTGCTTTATCTCTTTCCTTTTCTCCCGGCTCTGTCCGCTTGTTGTCCTTGATTGTAGGCTAGTTCTGTGCGGCGTTGGTGATAGGTAACGTGTCGGTGACTTGCTGATTTGTTTTTTCCTGCTCGCTAACATCGTTTGGCTTGGTAGCTTAGATGGTATGGCGAATTTGTTGAAACGTCTGATTTCGGTTTCCGGTTGCTTGCTGTCTGATACTGCTAATGGTGAATTTATGGGTGGCCGGGCCGGAAATGTATCTTCCGGTCTTTGCTATACTTGTTGAGTTGAGTAATGCTAAAATGTGATTGTGTGAAGTGACGTATGGGGGAATCCAAGTTAATACTGCAGCACTGAGTGCCTTAGAGGATCATTACCTGATCTTTAGACTGTAGTGATAGATTTTTGTTACTAGTCTCTTGTAGAATCGATCCCTGAAACGTAACAGTCCTTGACACAGTCTGTTAGGCGTTCGTTCTTGAAATTTAAGTTAACTTAATTGTACATCCCCTTCATCTGCGCTCCTCCGTAGAAGGAATTACCAATTTAGGAGTGTTGATCAGTCATTCAGTTCCTTTCTTTCTCAGGTTCTTACTGATAACTTCTGTTGAGATTGGAGTCCAATTAAGCTGGCTAGTAGCTTTGTGAAGTTTTAGGTCTAAGTCTAGGAAATGGACGAGTTGTTTCAGGGTGTGATGTTAGGCCAAGTGATTATGTAGTAAGTCATTAGGTAGCATCTCTCAAGTTGGGTTTTCAACCATTGCTCAAGAATGAATGTGCTTCTCTATACCCGACTTCGGTAATGTGAGACCCAGAAGCATGGATTGGTTTCCTGGTGATGAGCAATGCTGTGTTTATGAGAGAACCAGAAGGGACGGCGACCTTCGAATGTCAGGCTTAACAAATGGTGGTAACTTCTTCCTCGAATCTGGGTTGCCATCTTTTCAACCTGACAGCCCAAAACAACTTCTATATGTTTGTCTTCCCATCTTCCCTTCTTGTATCCAAGAATCAAGCTGGTCCAAGGTTCATGGAGTTTGCCGCCTCTGTTAGCTAGTAGTGTCCAAATTACAGCTCAAGCTTCTGAATTCTTGTACTGTTCTTCCTAGTATGTAGATGCTGCAACAATGTGATGAAGCTGGTATTTAAAGGGAACGAGGCTTTTGTTTGCTGTCGACCATGGAGTCTGATCTCCTACCTTCACGAAACTCAATTTATAATGTATGGGTTTCCTACGGTCAATTGGACAGAACGGAGGACTCTGTTCCCGAAACATGAACTTTTTTAGTTTTGGGTAAGTTCATGTCAGAAGAGACTTGAATCTGAGTTGCTGACCGAGGTAGGCCTATCCATGATAGACAAAATTTCCGTATTTCTACAGTCAAAATTTCTATCTTTCTGTCCTTCTGAGAACACATTTGACTGGGTGATGCTCCCTTTTACGATAGGTTCTTCATTCGTGGATCTGTTGGTCATGTCCAGATAGTTGGACTTTTGTTCTGGGACTTCTTCTTCAAGGAATCAAGTGGTTATGAAACTCTTTATCCGTATTGGAGTTTCTCAGTGCTGCATGAGTTGTTGTATGGGACCTTGTAGCTCTTGTTTGGATAATTCTTCTATTGGCGCATTGCCACTTCCAGTGTGGAGCTGTGCAGCATTAGTTGGATAATGCACTTGCTAAATTTTCAATATGTCTGCAGCGGTGTAGAAGAAACCAAAGATCTGCTATGCTGTTCCGGTGGCTTGACCAGGTCTGTGGCTTGTGAGGTTTTGGAAACGTTTCTAAACAGCTTTCCATATGCAGGTGCTGTAGCTACCTGGCTGCTTCTAGATATCCATCATTGTCTTGATAAGATGGGAGAGGCAGAAATTATGAGTCTTGGCTTTGATAACATAAAAATCAGGAGTCTGTTGGCTCAGAAAAAGAATCAGGAGACTATTAGCTCAAATTTTCAGCAGCTGAATGGCGAATGCGAGTCAAAAGACAGAATGACTACTGACATGCTTGAGAAGGGGTTAATGGAGTATGGGTATGTCCATTCTTTATTAGCAACGCCACTTGTTAGTAGATTCTGGCTGTTCCTTCCTAATACGACATGCTCTTCTTTGCAGATGCCCTCATTATCGTCGAAGGTGTCGCATTAGAGCTCCTTGTTGCAATGAAGTTTTCACTTGCCGTCATTGTCATAATGAAGCAATAGTGAGTAGGAACTTTGTATCATCCTATGTGTAGGGGTGGTAATTTGTTCATCGTCCATGATCTTGTTGAATGTTTCTTGTAGCCTCATTGTTCACTTATCTGTCTGAGTGATTGAAAATGATGGAAAAAAAGAGGTTGGGGTTGAAGATGGGAGGATACAGGATGAAAAAGAAAATAATCAACTCTGGCTGTGTGTTTTCTGTGAACGTGTTAGATTGCTGCTGGTGACCAAATATACTTGTTATTTGTGATTATAGTAATCTGCATCATGCTGTTCTTGTTAATCTTAGAGGCAACGATGATCAGTGATACATTATTGGTCCCTAGGAACTGAATTCAGATTTCTTTGCAGAACGACATTAACGTTGATCAGAAACTGAGGCATGACATGCCACGGCATGAAGTTAGACAGGTACAAGACCTGAGATTTTGCTTCATTGACTATTCTGCTGAAATTTTTTACTGATTTGATTATTCCAGTCAGTGTGCTAGGCTTGTATCCATTCTGATCAGGCCTCCCTGGTCTGCTTTTTCAGGTGATATGCTCACTTTGTGGCACGGAGCAGGAGGTATGTCAACTTGTTTTCTATAATTTGTTCCCAAGTACCTATGTCAGGGGTTAAGGAGAAACTAGTTAAGGGACTCCATTCTATTTGTCATGGTATGATCTTATGGTTCGACTCTATCATCTGTCTGCCTGGCTAGTCATTTGTTACTTGCTATTATATTGTCAGGCTCAACAAGTTTGTAGGAACTGTGGTGTATGCATGGGGAAATACTATTGTGAAACCTGCAAGCTGTTTGATGATGATGTAAGTGATGACTCTCAATTCGGTTTTGCATCTTCGTATATAAGTGAGATTGAGCAGTATGCTTGAGGCTTCATTTGTGTATCTAAGCTCGTTAAATACCATAATGTAGCAGTGCAATTACTCCCAAATTTTTGTTGTGGGAAATTTGCACCTAAATTTCTACTTGTTGAGGTACCACCGGATGCATCCACGCTGATTGAATGTTAATGAACATTGTTTAGCAGATATCAAAGAGACAATATCATTGTGATGGCTGTGGGATATGCAGGTATGGTCTTTTTGTTCTCTTATTGTTAGTTTGTTACTATAGTGGAGGCAGTTTAGTTTTGAAATTTGCTGATCTAGCAAGTTCAATTTGGTGTGTTGCTCTTGCTCACCTTTAGAAATTTAGGGGACAAAGTGGATCTAGATCTCCTGGTTGCCATTGGAAGTGCAACGTGTTTAGTAGTACATTCTGTTTTCTCTGAGGTCTTAGTACGCAGTTGAGCTTTTAAGTTTTAACCTGCATGCTATATTTTGTATCCAGAAAGAAAATACTCTGTTTGTCATCCCTCTATCATTGAAGCCTTTAGTTTAATCAACTCTTCATCTTATGAATGAACCAACTTCCCCTCCCGAATGAACTGTGTGGTCTTATTTCTCCTCATTGTTTGTGGTGTGCTTTCTCCATCCTTTATTCTGACCTGCTTTGATGGCCATGTTGTGCAGAATCGGAGGACGTGGAAATTTCTTCCACTGCGACAAGTGTGGTAAGCTACTTCTCTTGTTAAACTTAAATGAGGAATTGATTGAATGAATCGTCAGCTGACTACTTATTTATCTTCGCTATACGTGCAAAAGGCTGTTGCTACTCTATCCACCTGAGAAACAGTCACCCATGTGTGGAGGGCGCAATGCATCATGATTGCCCTGTGTGTTTCGAGGTATGGGAGTGCTTCTCTTTCTTTGTGCATGGGTTCTTTCTTGTTTGCAGTTCCTTAACTGCTATTGTTGTTGAATGTTTTATCCGTTTGCAGTACTTATTCGAGTCTAGACAGGATGTAACTGTCCTGCCTTGTGGACATACAATTCATCAAGGCTGCCTGAAGGAGATGCAGGAACATTATCAGTATGCCTGCCCTTTGTGTTCAAAGTCAGTTTGTGACATGTCCAAGGTGTGGGAAAAATTCGACATGGAAATCGCGGCTACCCCAATGCCGGGACCTTACCAGGGCAAAATGGTCCATTTCCAGAACTCTAGTCCTTACCTCACTCCCCACTTAGGCACGTACCCTTCTGTTTCTCTCTTATATTTTTTTCTTTTGCCTGGCAGGTTCGGATACTCTGTAACGATTGTGGCAGAACCTCCCAAGTGCAGTTCCATATCGTGGCTCAGAAATGCACGCATTGCAAATCGTACAACACTCGCCAAACAAGAAGCTGAAGCAAGATGTATCCCATGCATCACTTATTCGATACGAAAATGAGGCTGCTGGCTGTGATTTATCATAATCTTGGTCCTTCCTGCCGACTGCAGTTTCCACCTGGCCTGGAGCCATGATCTCTCTACTTGGAGATGGAGCTCATTGTGATGAACCTCGCCTCCTCCCCCCTCTCTCAGCTTACACTATTATTTTTCTCGCTCCGTTCATCTTTCATTCCGATAAGTCGTTATTTGTAATTCTGTATGTCTTTTGCTGGGTCTCTACTCCATCTGTTTGTCAAATGTCCAGAATTGTTGGGGTGCTTCAATTCTTCAGGGCATGAAGTGGTGGTGGAACTGTAATGGGTAATGGATTTTCTCAGCATGATTTGTTGTAGTTGTGTTGTTATGGGATACCTATGGTTATGGATGCGTATTGCCTCTTTTGAGTGTGGAGTTGTGCAGCAAAGGTATGCTACACTGTTTCCGTGGCTTATAACTGTTATGAAAGGTCCATTTGTGGTCGGGTTGAATGAAAAAATTATCTCAGTTTGAACATGATCTGCATCTCAGGGGACATTGTGGCACACGTGATGATATCGTTTAAGAATGGTAACATGTTAACGAGCATAAAATGACGGTCGCATTCAAAGTTCTAACGTATATGTTATATTTAAATATGTAAACCAAATGGACGAATAATCTAAAAACTCGTTTTGATTAATTAAAAAACTCATTTTGATTAATTAAAAAACTCATTTTTGGTTACTCAGAAACCATTAATTTTTTTTATGAATAAGTTGTTTTATTCATCAAGTAAGGGAGGCTTAATGAAAACCCCCTAACTGGAACTCAGTTCACGAAAGCAAACAAGCATAAACTCAGATTACAATAACAGCACAGGCGGAGCCAAGGGTTCTTGGATGTGTCCCGCATGTAACTTTTGGGTAAAAATAAAATACCCATATATATGTATAAATTAAGGATTGCATTCATCATTTTTAGGTAATATAAAAATATTTTATCACTACACTACAAGTTATTTCAAGTTCAAATGCTAACATAAATCAAGTTATCACACTATAAACAAAATTCAGAATATCGAAAAATCGATCTTTTTGTCTTCTGAAGTTAGTTTTGACTCTACCGGTTGCAACTACAAGTGTAAAAAGAACATTTTCAGCTTTGAACTATATTAAAAACAAGTTTAAAAGTCCCTTACGACCAATTTGCTAATAATTGTTTAGTTGGATACATTAAGAATTTGAAAGCGCATCGTGATTGCTTATGAAAATAATGATTGTATAGTCTAGTATTTCTTTAATATCTATGAATGAATTGTATAATTGGATAGTATTAAGTTATAAAATATTTATATTATAGAAAAAGGACACATGTACTTACAGATTCTGGCTCCGCCACTAAATAACAGGGCACCAAGAGATTAAATCACCATCTAACTATTACTCTCAAAACTACACTATACTACTAATGAAGTCTTCGGTTATTGCTAGCGGTACTTGGGGAAATCCACTCCTTAACAACTTCAGCAGACCTTGCAATTTGCTAGGTAATTGGCCTGCAGTCATCAACTCCCCTTGCCATAACTCTCCTGCACCTTTCCCGCCAAAGCTCTGCCACCACCATAATCTAAAGAATCCTACCACGATCAGAGGCAGTACAGTTTAGCCGAAAAAGAGACACAACAATCTCCAGTGACCCATCCCAGCTCCTACCATATTTTATCCTTCAAAAACAGTCTCGATTATATGCTTTGAATAAGAGCATTCAAAGAAGAGATGATCTCTAGACTCAGCCGCAGAGGAGCATAAAGGGCAAATATTTATTACTGAACCATTCCACTTCTGCACCTTATCTAGAGTAGTGATTCTATTCAGAATGACAAGCCAAACAATCAGCTTGTCTCTAGGAGTCCCAAAAGATTTCCATACCAATGGATACCACTGAACCTTCTCATCTCTAACACGAAGGGTTTCCCAGACTCGCTTAACAGAGAACTTAGCCATAATGCTATCTTCCCAGTACACTCCTGCTGGTCTGGCCCTGGGATGCTGTGCTGCAAGAGTTCTAACTTTAAGCACCTTCCTCCAAGCCCAGGAATAAGGAATGGAAGGAGGAATATCCCAGATTGAAGTGTAGCTAAGTTGATAGTGCCTTACCCAGGTTGCCCATAAAGAGGAGGAATTCGAGGATATAGCCCAAAGATGTCTCACTAGACAAGCCATGTTCCAACTTCGAAGATCTTTAAATCCTAGACCACCCTCCTTCTTAGACCTTGCTACCACCTGCCAGAGTACCTTAGCCTTTCTCCCTTCCTCCTCTGAACTCCATAGGAAATCAGAGCAAGCTTTTTCAATCAGCTTTAGCACTTTGACTGGGAGTTGATTAATTCTCATCCAATATTGAGTAATACTTGAAATGACAACAGAGATGAGCTGTAACTTGCCAGGATAGGATAAAGATTTCACCTTCTAGCCTCTAATCCTTGCAGTTATCTTGTCAACCAAAGCAGTACAATCTGCACTATTCAACTTTCCAGCAATAAGAGGGATCCCCAGATAACGTACAGGGAGGTGTCCAATGGCAAACCCAGTTCTAGAAGATATGAGGGCCTGAACACTAGGATCCACTCCTCCACAAAAAACTTCACTCTTGGCAGGATTGCATTTTAACCCAGAAACAACATAGAAAGCATCCAGAATAGCTTTAGTTTTCCCCACAGCTTCAGGAGTCCCCTTGGTGAAGATCAGGAGATCATCAGCAAAACATAGATGGGAAAGCCCTATTCTATGTGTTTGTGGATGAGGAGGAAGGGTTTTGACAGCATAGGCTTTGTTAAGCATGCAGGACAGGACCTCCATGGCTATAGTAAACAGATAGGGGGGAGAGAGGGTCCCCTTGTCTCAACCCTTTCTGAGCTGAAAAATACCCACAGAGCTCCCCATTGAAACAAACAGTGAGCTTTGTGGTCTAGAGACAAACTCTAATCCAATTTATGAATTGAGCTGGAAATGTCATAGCTTCCATGACAGTCTCTAGGTAATTCCAATTAACACTATCAAATGCCTTCATCACATCCACCTTAAGAGCACATCTAGGGGATATAGACTTTCTATTGTATAGTCTAACCATCTCATGAGCCAATAGGACATTGTCACTAATTAATCTGCTCTTTATGAAAGTAGATTGATTCTGACTAATGACTAGTGGGAGGACTTCCTTCAATCAATTAACAAGAAGGGCTATACATTTATATAGTATGTTGCACCAGGATATATGTCTAAATTGCTTCATACAGTCAGCATTTAACACCTTAGGAATGAGGGCCAGGTAGGTGGAGTTTACCTCTGAAAGTAGTTTCCCTGATCTGAAGAAATCCATGACAGCATCAGTGATCTCATCACCCAAAATCTCCCAATTATGCTTATAGAAACCAGCTGTGAAGACATCTGGTCCGGGATATTTTTCTTCATTCATGGAGAACAGAGCTATTCTAACTTCTTCTCGAGTTACTGAGCTACAAAGAGGTTATGCTTGCTCAGAGGTTAGTGTATGAACTAACAGCTGGGATATCATATCACTACTCACCCTCTGAACATCAGGATTCCTTGTACCCAGCAAATTGTGATAAAACCTAACTGCTTCCTAACTCATTTCCTTAACTTCAGTTAGGAGTGCACCCTCCTCTGAGATGACCTTCTTAATAGTTGAACGGGCCTGGCGAGCTTTCACATAGTTGTGGAAGAAGGAAGTATTTAAGTCACCAGTCTTAACCCAAAAGATTCTAGACTTTTGCCTGTAAATAGCCTCCTCTTCCTTAAGAATAAACCATGAAATTGAATAACCATGATGTGAAGATAAAGGCCAAGACTGGCAATAAGAGACGATTTGCAAGTTCTAATGCAAATATGTTTTTTTGGTAATGTTGCTTCTTTTCTTTCTGTCTTATCATAATGTTGGGGTAAATGCTACATTTGGTCACTGAGATTACTAAATCGTGTCATGGTTAGTTACTAAAAAAATTTAATATCAATTTTGGTCGCTCGAATTACTAGAACAGGTCACATTTAGTGACTCTCCCGTTAGAGGATTCTGTTCTCTTGGATAAGAGAATCCGCAACGATGGTAAAACACAGGAGAAGGAGGGGTCGTTCAATACAACACCAAAATTACCCATAAAAAATCAAAAAAAATTATTAAGAATAAAATTATAAATTCAACCTTTGATTAGTACATCCTCCATACAAAAATTCGATATTAAATCTAACAAACAAAAAAGCACTTGATAAAATACGACACAAATTCAATATAACAAAATCCTAAATAAACTTTCATTCATAAAATTCCCAATTTTACCCAAATCCTTATTTTTTAAAAAATCCTACAAACAGACTTATTAGGTTGGGAGAAGGATTTCCTTCCCATTCCCGTGGAGGCTTCGCAATTTTAAATTTAATTTTTTGACAATAAACAAGCAGGCGGGAATTCACTTTTTGAAATTTTAGGGTCATATACTAGCCACTCGAAGGAAGGGAGGATACGGAGGATTTACCGGTGACCTGAGTCGAAGAAGCAGTCGACTCCGGTTACGTAAATTTTGCAGCAGATGGCTAGTGAGATAAATAATCAGGAGGCTGTTGTCTCAGATCCTCAGCCGTCGATCGAGCGATGTGAGGCACAGGACGGGAAGACCACTGACGTGCTCGAGAAGGGATTAATGGAGCACGGGTGAGTCCATTCTTCGTTCGACGCGCAACCTGTTAATGCAGCTTCTGGAGCTTCCTTCTTAATACTGCTGCTCTTACTTCTCGCTCTCGACAGGTGCTCGCACTATCGATGAAGGTTTAGCGTTAGAGCCCCTTATTGCAATGAGGTGTTTAGTTGTCTTCATTGTCATAATGAAGCGAAGGTTAGTGGATTTGAATCAGCCTGTGGAGTGTGGATTGAGATGTCAATTCTTTCCGTGATCTTGTTGGAAGTTTACTTTTGGCCTTACAATTGTTCGCTATCAGTCTGAGTAATTGAAAGCAATACAATGAAGAGGGTATTAGGGTTGAATTGAAGATGGGAGGATTTAGAAGGAGAAGTAAAGAGAATAAGAAGGTCAGTTGTTTCCTTTTCTGAGAACTTGTTGAATCATGGCTGGTAGTTGTCGGCATCATGGCATACTTCTTGTTTTTGTTAGTTGCAGTGGTACACATGAATGTAATTGGTCCCTAGATTCATTAGTGAATATAGTTTTCTCTTGCAGAACGACATCAAAGTCGATCAGAAACTGAGGCATGACATGCCACGACATGAAGTTAGACAGGTATAAGACTTGAGAGATTTTGGTTCATTAACTATTTGGGGTGCATTCTCTTACTAGAAAAACCTTCCAGTGAAGATTCTGTACTTGGTATCCATTTTAATCTGGTGTCACTAGCTCCGTTTTTTAGGTGGTGTGCTCGCTTTGTGCCATAGAGCAGGAGGTATGCCAACTTGGTTAACTCATTATCTTCCCATCGTCAGTATTCTTATTTCATTGTTAATTGTTGTTGACTTGACAATAAACCTAGAGGATATAGTGTTCATGAATGAGGGATAAATAATGGGAAGTTTAAAATACTTCCTGCTAATCAACATTTCGTGTATACATTGGCACAAAGCTTTAGATCTTGGGTGGACTATATATCTTTTCATAATTTCATCCGCTGGGCCAACTGTGTATCATACTAGTTGACTTAAAATGGAACAATGTAAACCAGTGGTTAGGCAGTTAAGGTAAATTTCACTGTATTGTATACTCCTCTCTTAACTATGTCATACGCGCACCATGTGATTTGTCTGTTATTTGATGTCATGAACAGGTTCAACAAGTTTGCAGGAATTGTGGTGTGTGCATGGGGAAGTACTATCGCGAAACCCGCAAGTTATTTGATGATGATGTAAGCGATGAATCTTGAATGTGGATTTGTTTTTTCATATATTAGGAAGCGTCGATCAGCGATGCAGCTTGCATATCTGAGCTATAGCTATTATATTATTATGTAGTAGTATCCACACTGGTTATCAGCTTTTCTGCATTTTGGTGTGCCTCATGGTGCATCCACACTGACTGGAGATCTTCTTTGAATGTCCATCAACGTTGTTGAGCAGTTATCAAGAGGGAAACTTCATTGTGATGCTTGTGGGATACGCACGTATGCTTTCTTTTTTCTCTGCAATCTTCACTAAACTAGTGGAGGCAGAACAGCTTTGATTTTAGCCGACATCTCAAGTGTAGTTTATGGTGTGGATCGCCCTTGAAATTAAGGGTTACAATCTGGTTCTGGAGTCTGGACCTGGTTACACTGAAAGTAACTTGTTTGGTAGTAGGAACACTGTGTGCTCTCTGTTTCACAGGTAGTAATGCCAATGGCTGATTGCCAGTTGTCATGGATTTAACGCCCATGCTATATTCTCTAGCCAAAATGAAAGACTCCATCCTATAAATCTCCAGGATCCCTATAAATCTCCAGGATCCCAGCAGCAAGGCTTTGTTTAATCACAGTTCATAATATTCGCCATTTTCATGCCCTCCCATAGTTCTACTATCAGGTCATCTGGATGGGTGCAACATAATGCAACTAAAAAAATCCGTCATTTTTGTTGTTGACTCTTTTAGACAATCTCAAATATATTGGGGTAGGGTGCTTATGGAAGTACACTCTAGAAAAGTAGGCCTCACATGCTAATTTTTCACTTCACAACACAATTTCCTAACAAATGCACTGAATGAAACTGTATGTGTTTGCTTGTATATCTTACATAATAGCATACAACACAAGTAACATAAGATAAGCCTAGCCAGACAATGTTGTTTGTGTGTGCTCACTCGTTGTTAGTGATGTGCTTTCTCAATGCTACATTCTTACTTGCTCTCAAATTTGGAATGTTCTGGCAGAATTGGAGGACGTGAAAACTTTTTCCACTGCAACAACTGTGGTAAGCTTACTTCCCATTGGCGACATCTGGTAATCTTAATGAATTTGGATCAAAATCTTTAGCTGACACCTAATCATCTTTCGGTGCACTGCAAAAGGCTCCTGCTACCCTATCTCTATAAAGAAAATTCACACCTGTGTGGAGGGCTCAATGCGTCATGATTGCCCTATGTGCTTTGAGGTATGGAATGTTTCTAAGTCTTTTCCACTCTCTTTTCCCCTCATTCGTTAAGATTTTCTTCACAAGGCCTTGTATAATGTTCCACCTCATTTTGCAGTACCTATTCGAGTCTAGACGGGTTACAACTGTACTACCCTGTGGGCACACCATTCACCAAGGCTGCTTGAGCGAGATGCTGCAACATAATCAGTTGAGCATCACTTGGCCTTATAGATGTTCCAAGTGATTCTATCTTTTGCTTCATTTCAATCCATATAATCGTGCTTTTGAATGCAGGTATGCTTGCCCGCTATGTTCAAAGTCGGTATGTGACATGTCAGCGACATGGGAGGCACTCAACGTTGAAATTGCCGCTACCCCAATGCCAGAACTAGGGGTGGGATTCGGTCGGTAAACAATTTACCGTTTACCGCATTTACAGGTTTCGGTATACCGAAGTTGGCCAAACTCGTTACCGATTACCGATACCGGTTTGTAACCGGTTTACCGATTACCAAATTATCGGTAAACGGTTACAAACCGGTATTACCGAAATACCGTGAGAAGCGATTTCGGGCGGTTTTTCGGTCGGTTTACCGAACCGAATTTCTGGAAGTGGGGTGATGTTGTAATATTTTGATTTTTTTGAGTTTTTTTATCATTTTTGTAATTAATAATTTATTATTAACTCTTATTTACAATATTTTTGAGGCCTATACTTACATTCATGTATGTAATATTTTATATTTTTGGGGGTAAAGCAACAAAACGCAGCGCAGCACTAGGGAGTAGGGAGGGGGGATTCGGTATCGGTAATACCGATTTACCATCGGTATTTACCGATACCGTGTCCGGTAAACCGACTCCCCCAACTTCCCGCTCGGCTCCCGATACCGCCGGTAAACGGTTTACCGTTTACCGCCGGTTACCGGTTCGGTAAAATGGTAAACCGTTTACCACCCCTAAACCATACAGGGGCAAAATGGTTTGTTTCAGAACTCTGTAGTCCTCTCGCCTGGTCTCTCTCTAACACCCTGATGTCCACCTCTAGCAGTAACCGTTATTTTTTTACTTTTGGCAGGTTTGGATACTCTGCAACGATTGCAGCAAAACCTCACAAGTACAGTTCCATATCGTTTGTCATAAGTGCTCCCATTGCAAGTCCTACAACACTCGCCAAACAAAAAACTGAAAAAGTGAAAGCTGGATGGTGATATATCTTCCTTCCTGCAGTAATTTCACCGGACCCGCCATGATCTCGCTAGAAGGAGAGGGAGCTCCATTTGCATTCCGACAGGTCTTCTGTTTGTTGTTTTTCTCTACTCTGTTGTTGACGACAAACAGTGGTTCGTGTATTCATATAGATATTGTTGTCTTGTCCCTACGAGGGAGGCCTCAATGTTATGAACTTATGATTGCAAATTGTATATGGTTGCAAGTGTAATGTTGTGGCAGTTGTAGTTCATATCCAGATTCTAGGGTGGCTTTATTTAGTATATGTTTTCGTTTTGGCTAAAAACACATCTCCATATACAAGGTTGGTTGAAAGTTTGAATGGTGCCATCACCGTGGGTACCAAACGAATCCAATTGATTATGTCGAAAAAAATCCAACCGATATTATTTTTGGGTTAGGTTTTACCGAACGCAATAAAGCGGGTAATGAGTTTGGTGAGGTATTTGCATTGAATTCACCTAAATATGTACTAGTTTTCGGGATTTTTCCTGAAATAGCACCTTTTAAAAAAATTACAAAAATAGCACCAAACCGAAAAAAATTTACACTAATAGCACCCTTTTTTATGGACCGCACATTAGAGGTGCGTCTTATATATAAACCGCACCATCCAGGTGTGTTTTATATATAAACCGCACCTCTAAGGTGCGGTTTATAATCCTGGACCAAAACCGCATCTTGTAGATGCGGTTTCAGGTCTGCCCTACAGAAAACGCGCGGCCGAGGTGCGGTTTAGGCCTGACCTATCAAAACCGCACATTGGGAATGCGTTTTTGTTTTTAACGCATTCCCAAGGTGGGGTTTTGCCACACAAACCGCACCCCCAAGGTGCGGTTCTAGTCAATTATTTTCCGACATGCCATGCAGAATAACAGACGTGGGTCTGCATGGCAGACGAAAACCGCACCTCTAAGGTGCGGTTTTCTTCAGTGATTTTGCCTATAAAAACTTCCCGGAAAACCTCTTCTCTTCACACCTCTAAGGTGCGGTTTTCTTTAGTGGTTTTGCGATTAACGTTACTCGTAAGTTTATTTTGTATTACTTTTTATTGTTATTTTTTATTTGTTATTTTTATGATATTAACTGAACTACGATTCTTTTGCAGATGGCATTCCAAAAGTTCACGCTTGGCTTACGCTGGAATGGTTACACGGAAGAGACCGCAAAGGGGGTCACCTACGTCGGTGGCAATTTTCAGAAGATAAAGGTCGCTACCAGATGCTGCTTAAAGACCTCCATCAAATGTGCACTAACGTTACTTGCATGGATGGCACGAGAAGAGTTGATCGTATGGTGTACCGATATCCAAACAGAGAAAGTGGGTCATTGTGGCATGAGGAATATCTCATAACCACTCAGGATGAGGTAGATGCCATGCTCGAATTCATGAGGTCCAACAATCTTTCCAAAGCCGAGATGTTCGTTTACACCGAGCCGGTCGTAGGCGTTGGAGGTCATTCTGGACACGGTCAAACATCTGGTATCCATGGTGGAGGTGAATCATATGGCGATCATCCCTACCAAAGTTACCATGATCCTCATTCCTATTTTCAGTACCAAGAGCAAGGTGAAGGTCATCATCAATCTTTCCCGTCATATGAAGAAGAAGTTCAACCGGACCTCCCCAACCAACCTCAGTACAATTTCCAATCAGGCAGCGGTAGTTTTCACAACTACCATTATGGAGCTGATGAAGGTGCCTTTCATGAGCTGGATCAGATGGAAAAAGCCCTGCTAGCACCAGTCAGTGACCCCTCCGATGAAGAAGGAGAGAACAACGTCAGTGCAGACAGCTCCGACCCTCTTGAAGGTGCTGATGATTCAGGACCAGAGTCAGACTCAGATAATGATGATGAGGTGGCTCGTGACCGTGTACTAGTCCCCTACTACAATCACATTCTAGACGACAATTGGATGGTCGACAGCGACATGGAGCCGCCAGAGGTCCCAATATGGGGTCCACTCACTGGGTTTATGAAGGGCCAACAATTTGGCTCGAAGAAGGAGGTGTGGCACGCCATTGAGATTGAAGCAATGACTCGGCATTTTGAATGGCACACAACTCATTCCAACACTAAAAGGCTCATAGTCAGATGCCGTAATCATCATGAGGGGTGCAATGTTAGGATTCGGGCCATCAACAGCAAGAGACACGACCACTGGGTCATATCCCGTGCGGTGCAATCCATGGCTTATGCTCCCAAGCCCAAAATTGGACGATGAACATTGCGCCGCCGACCTCCCTCGCAGATTTTAGAGACGCATTACACAAATTGTGGTAGATATTAGCTAGGCAAGCGGATGCCCAGCTATACTCCCCCATCTCCTCCCAACTACCGAGGATGATCCTAAGCCATCCACAACTAAGGAGATTGCTTGATTTTTTGGAGAAGAACACTTATCTGATCATGCCTATGAGATAGACACGAGCATATCTTTCCTTCTCATCCTCCAGACTTTCCTCGGTTAGGGGATGACTCTCGTAATGGTCTCTAAAATACTTCGTCAACCAAGTAATTGAGACTTGGTGTTTCCTCATTGGTGGCAAGCGATCGGTCGCATCAACGCTCCCCTTGACTGGTACTTTCACTGCCAAAACACTGTAGATGAAATGCACCCAACCGGGCATACCGTCACAATCCTCGGGTGGATGATCACTCGCGCACACCGGTTTGCCGTCGATGGGCATATGGGTTAGGATGACGACATCCTTTAGCGTGATGGTGGCCTCTTCTTCTCTAAAGTTGAAACAATGAGTCTCTTTTCTCCATCTCTCAACTAATGCGGTGATGAGTTGGCGATCGACTTTGATGCCGTTATAATGTCTAATCGGGTCCAACCTTGCCCTTTTGAGAAAGGGCAAGCTAGCTTGGTGGAATGGGAGCACATTGGTCGTACCCCTGTAGCGGAGTATTGTTTGTGCCTCCTAGCGAAAATTTACACGTTAATGATTATATATAGTAAGGGTTTTTTTCTTATAACTATATTAATTAAATAAAATTATTTAACTACAAGCAGAATTTTATTATCATAAAAATACATTTCATATAATTAACATAATAACATTCTAAATCAATAATAATTTAAAGAGATACTGCCATATTATAATAAAACAAACATCCTAAATTAATTAATATAATAACATTCTAAATGAATAATAATTTAAAGAGATACATACATATTATCGTAAAACAAACATATTAAATTAATTAACATAGATAACATTGTAAATGAATAATAATTTAAAGAGAAACATACATAAACTTATATTTGAAATTAATAAAATTCATTTTGTACACATAAAAATAAATCGTATTGGTTGTTTTATATAATTTAGTCGAATACAGAGCAACACTCGTTAGACTCTTAGAAGAGGTATACATCTTCTTAGAAACGCAGTCTTTTTGACATAAAAAGGGGGGATCCGAGGATCTTTTAATACCCGATTTTCCCAGGGAATGGGAGGATATGATAATCGCTTAAAACCTCATTTCCTTAGACGTGCATCTCTTTATAAAGAGTCGAAGTAAGTGGCGCTATGTATTCGATTAAATTATTGAAAACAACTAACACGATTAAAAATTCAACATAAATTTATTTTATATTCCACTAAATACATTAGCAAAATAAAAGAAAGACAAATGGTGAAGAATTGTATGTACCGGGTGATCGTTCCAAACATCCCTTGACCGATGGTTGGGTTGGTTGTACAAGTCGGTTGGATCCAACGGTCCTTGCTCGAGATAATACCGTTGGTTGTATATATCCACGTCTTCCCCAACCTACGAGAAAATAACAACGAGGTTTGTACATAGATTAATTGAAAAGCTTATAACAACAACAAAAATTAAACCAGAATAATGAGTACGTTTCGCTAGAAATTCATCAACATAAACTCCCTTTCCTTGCCACCAATCGCTCACTTTTTCGGGAAATTCGGACAGAGATTCGGCTCGGCTCGGTGGGTTTTGAGGAAAAAACCTAAGAAATGTTTTCTGATGGCAGATCGGACTTAGCCGCAACCAACATACCACTATTTCCTAGGCTTTTGGGAGGGGAGGGTTTAGAGAGATAATTCTAGAGAGAGAGTGGAGAATGGTTGTGGTGTGAAGAAATGAGAGGGGGGAGGGGGTATTTATACCCATCAGACCGCACCCCCCAGGGGCGGTCGGGTAATTTTGCCCCACTCAAAACCGATGCTTGCCGAGGCGGTTTGCGAGTCACGAGCCGTTGACCGCTCCTTGCAACTGCGGTCCTCGATCCATGGCGCGGATCGCTCAGCTGGCGCGCGGTCCGCCGTCCTATCGCTCTTCCATCCAACGGTCTTGAAGACCGTTCCGCAGAGAAGGCATACCGCACCTTCCTAGTTCGGTTCGCGTGCTGACGTGGCATGGAACGAACCCCTAAGGTGCGGTTTATAAGTAAAACGCACATGTAGGGTGCGGTTTACTTATAAAACGCACCTTAGGGGTGCGTTCCATTAAAAAGGGTGCTATTTATGTCAATTTTTTCGGCTAGGTGCTAGTTTTGTAAATTTTTTTAAACGTGCTATTATTGAAAAAATGCCCTAGTTTTCTACACGGCCAGTTGGCCGGAGAAGTTCATTTTATTATTTATATTAGTTAACTTATCTACATGTTTTGAACTTTTTATACGAACTCTCACCCAATTAATAAGAGTTCAAATTATTGGAAAAATATACTTGATTACTGGATAAATTATGTTTATCCCAATTGAAATTTGACACACATCGTATCCCCTAAAATGATTAAATTCTCTAAACCTCACTCATTTTTATTGTTGATGTTCATGAAGTCTTTGTATAGCAACTTATTACAATTGCTAATATTTTAAGGTTGTACTAACTCTCAACCCATGCATTTTGTCTCGATGTTCATTTAGAATATGAATCCAAGGATTGATAATAAAAAATCTGAATCCAAGGATTCATATACA